TCCATCTAGGCATGACTGTGCCATGAGGAAGCAACTCCTCTACGCTGCTGCTACAGTGATATGCTAATTGATCAGCTTAGGTCTTGCTAGGACTGACTCTGGCCTTTGCAGATTTTGGTTGTAATGCAAATCCTAGCTAAACAAGGTGAGCAGGTGGGATTAGATAACCAAAGCATATAGACCAACATAACTACATACAGACATAGTAGGCATTCATGTACCACACTGGCTTTTTAAACTATTGGGACTGATGTTTATATTAGCGCAAAGGCAAGTCAGGTTCTTTCTCAACTCTCAACTAGAGACAAATCTCTTTTTATGAAAGGAAATTCAGAAGTAAACAGAACGCCTTAAGTCTCAATATTTTAAAAATGATCCCAACCTTGTTAACAAGACTGATTAACGAGCACAAACTTTTTCAGTGTCAAATATTGTGACAGATAATATTTGAATATAATTGAAGATTTAATACCCCCCAAACATTAATAATTTGCTGGCAAGAAAAATTAATCTATCACTCAAAGCAAGCTCTGTACCTAGGCAGTGTTTTAGCTCTAGACTCTTATCATTTAAAAGAGCATAAAAGTTATTTTATGCAAGACCCACAGATCGATCCTTCTCAACAGACTTGAAAGATAGATGGGATCATGCCTTTGTGCTTTGGCCCCGACATCAAATTATTTGCATCCATTTTCCTCAGACAACTCCATCCACACAAGAGATCTAGGTGTTGCCCTTTCAATCACACAATATCGTAGGCAAAGTTGTATGCACTGCCCATTGGCTTCTTGGCCAGTTCCCAACAAACAACGGAATGACTAAAAGCATCTAGGACATATTTGCTGCATAGCAGCCTACTGAAGCTTCCATTCAGGTAATAAAGAAACCTTAATTCTTGCATCATAAAGTACTCAAAGTCTTACCCACAGAGCAGAAAATGTAAAGCTGGGGAACTGCACCTCCAAGCATTAAGGATCACAATTTACAGTATACACTTGTACAAGGAGAGTCTATGAGCATCCTGTTCGATAAGGTTGGGACTCACCTAAGCACCTGCACAAGGCTGCATTTGCAAGGCAACTAATGAAGAATAAGAAGAGTTTTGATTTGATAACCCGCTTTATCACTACCCTAAGGCATCTCAAAGCTGCTAACAATCTCCTTTTCCTTCCTCCCCCACAACAAACACTCTGTGAGGTGAGTGGGGCTGAGAGACTTCAGAGAAGTGGGACTAGCTCAAGGTCACCCAGCAGCTGCATGTGGAGGAGCGGGGAAGCGAACCCGGTTCACCAGATTACGAGTCCACTGCTCTTAACCACTACACCACACTGGCATCAGAGTCAAGGACACACATAACTGCAATGTCAGAATAGAGCATCTGTACTGAGGTGGGCAGAAGCAGTTGATAACAGTGCCCCTGAGCCACACAACAGCTAAGAACTAGGGAGAATCAAGGGAGACAAGATACAGCCAACAAGCAACCATGAGAGTACAAGATCACAGGAGTATATAGTAAGGAAATAAGGAATGTGTAACAACGGAGAAAGCAAACCAAATGCCAGTCACAAAAGGGAGCATGCTCTCTACACACACTGACCTAAAAGATTCATTGGACGAAAATGGGTGTGTGTGTTTAAATGGAAGGGTTTTTTTTTTTGTTTCCACGTAAGCATTCCAGTTCAGGCTTTTGGGCACATGCCCCAACTAGGCTTCCCAAATTCATAGTTGTGACAAGGTGTGCAAGGAGAAAGACCCCAAAGCCGTTGCATGAAAGTAGCTGCAAATCAACTGATCTTAGCCACCTAAGTTAAATTAAGTTCCACTACAGGGGAACATAGGGAACTGCATTCAAAATCCTTCTCATTCCAACAAAGACCCCAGTTACTCTATTGTAGGCCCAGGGGTGGGGGTGGGGGGAGAAACCAACACATTACAAGCAATTGGGGGGTGGCGCTGTGGGTCTAAACCACCAATCCTCTTGGGCTGTGTGTGACGGGGAGAGCTCCCATTGCTCTGTCCCAGCTCCTGCCAGCTAGCAGTTCAAAAGCACACCAGTGCAAGTAGATAAATAGATACCGCTGTGGTGGGAAGGTAAACGGAGTTTCCGTGTGCTCTGGCTTCCATCATGGTGTCCCGTTGCGCCAGAAGCACAGCTGTCAACTTTTCCCTTTTCTTGCGAGGAATTCTATTCAGTATAAGGGAATTTCCCTTTTAAAAGGGAGAAAGTTGACAGCTATGGCCAGAAGCGGTTTAGTCATCCTGACCACATGACCTGGAAAAGTCATCTGGGGAGAAACGCCAGCTCCCTTGGCCTGAAAGCGATATGAGCACCTCAACCTCACAGTCAAATTTGACCGGACTTAACTGTCCAGGGGTCCTTTACCTTTACCAAGCAATGTCTTTTCCCTTCCTCTCTAACAACACTCCATTCAAGCTGCATCAATTTACAGAACCCAACAACAAATACTGTTGCCTGACAGCAGAAACACAAAATATCCCCCCTCCAAATCTTTATAGATGTTTGAGTTCTAAATCAATAGTACTTTGAATACAATCAAAAGTTCCTTCCATGTCACCCAGGAATTATGCTAGGGAAGTTTGAACATCACAGCTTGAGAAGGCGGTCCAACTAATCAAGTTTGCAGTTAACATTTCCCATCACCAACCACCACCAATTTTATTCTGCCGAATCCATATTGCCAGCTAGGAATTGGGCATTTTGCCAGTATTTGGAAAATGGGAAGCAAAGGAGAAAGACTTCCCTGTGTGAGCACAGGTGTGTGCATAGTGTGTGTGTGTGTGTGTGTGTGTAACACAACAGGCAAATGTTCTGTCTACTCTTAAAAGCTTTCCTGGTTTCCTTGGTAGACGGGGAAACAGTCAAAAATTGTGAGAGCATTTTTAACATTCCTCCAGCGATGGCAAAGGAAAGGAAAGCTGAACACTCTCACCAGCCAGTCAAACTCACTGGCCAGTTTTTTCTTTGTAGATACCAATTATTGTGGTTTCAGGAATGTACCGTTTCACACTTCGCATTTGAAGAAGACTTTATGAAACATGCTAAGGAGGTTTCAAGTAATGCAGAAAAAATTCTAACTCTTTTTTAAAAGTGTTTTGCAGGTCACCCTGAAGACTGAGCAACTTTTTGTTTCTGGTCCTCATTGTTCTAGCACCATTCCCTGTTGTGCCTGTCATCTCCAGCCAAGGCATTTACCTTACGTGATGTAAGTACCCTAGAAAACTGATAAGCACAGGAAAGGAATTCTAATCATCAGCAGCCCCAAACGCACTGATTAGGAGACACTCACTCTTGCTTGCTTGCTTGCTTATGCTGCCAAGATGGAAAGGTAAAACACCCCTTTGCCTTATCCAGTCATCCCAAACATCTAAGAATCCTGCTGTATTTACGGGACATCACACAGGCAACATGTCTTTTTTCCCTTCCACTGCCTCCTCCAGTCTCCTTACCTTCTTGGATATTATTAGCAAGCTTAAGAAAACAGCTTAACATGTGTTAATTCATTACATTAACAAAGAATTACAAAAGGTCCCTTCAAGTCAAGCTTAATGCATTGCAAACATGTGTGTGTGTGTGTGTGTTTTTAGAACCTCTGCTCCAAAAGTGACATCTCCACAAAATGCTTAAAAAAGAGAGAAAACAACAAACATCACACAGGTAACTCACATCTTATGCTTCTTTTACTTACACGATCACAGCTTTCTGCAGGTGAGGAGGAAATAAATGAATGGAAAGAAGAGGAAACCCTCTCTTGATTTATTTATTTCCACCCGCCCATACACAGCTATTATTGCAGCCTTACTCAGCTTTGGGGAGGAAGCAGGTAAGCAGCCCAAAGGTAGGTAAGCAGCTCCCCACACCTTGCCCGGGGGGGGGCCGGCAGTTCCGAGGGTTCCTGGCTTTGCACGTTTTTGGGTTTTATGAGTGGACCCCCGGAACCAAACACTCGTGTAAGAGGAGAGTTCTCTGTACTAAAACAACCCAGACGTCCCCATGCTTGCCCCGCTTAGTAAAGAAGCAGCGACACCTGTCCTAGCTTTACAGGCCAGTAAAAGGTCTGTTAAGTGATCCACACATTTTTACCTGAATGAGGAAGGCACACTCTTTGCCTCTAGTCTCCATGTTCCCACCTGTAACCAACAGAGGCAGCCCTTTGGGCCACTTGGTGCAAGATCTCCATAAGGCAGAAGTGAGTCCCGGCCAAACTTTTGAGTGGGTAGGGTAGGTTGGGGTTTACAACACCGTGGCAAAAAGGGCTTATTGCTCCAAAAAGCAGAATATAGATTAAGCAGTCGCCAAACCGGGGGATTGGGGGTGGTACACGCTTTATTCATCCCTTCTTCTTTTTATTTATCTTATAAACCCATCCATCGCTTTTCTAACACAAAGCAATCTCTCACAGTAACTGCCAAAAAACAACTACCCACTTTTCCCCAGGAATCAAATGAATGGAAAATAGAAATCCACAGTTCAAAAGATATGTTTGGGAGTGTAGATTGTGATTGTGACTGTGTGTGTGTGTGTGTGTGTGTGTGTGTACAGAAGGAGTATTAACTTTGGTTTTAAGAGGAAAATCACAAGGTATCTTGTACAGATTCTAGTTTATGAGGAACACTGTGGGGGGGGTATGTATGCATGCATGTAATTTCATTACATCTTAATCCCATGTTTACCTCATGTAACTCATCGCCATACAGATTCTCATGAGGTCTCCCATCCAGGCACTCACGCCACCTAGACCTGCTTAGCTTCAGCTACATGGTGGCAGCAGCTTCACCCCAGGGACCAGAAGGAAACAAGGTGGAATAACCACCACCTGCTCTCCTAGATCTTCCATCAAAACTGGCAGGAATGTTTCCTCTACTTCCACATGGGGCTAACAGTACGAGCCTTCAGAAAACAACCCCTTTCAAAACTGCATCCCTGACACACTCACTGGTGGATTCCAAAGGGCCGAGAGGAAGGGAGAGAAATCCCTTACCTTTCTTCATCCTTGAAGATGAATTTCCGCAGCTTGAGATCTCGCAGCACCAGCCCGCCGTCGTGACAGTGCGCCACAGCAGACGCTATCTGATAGAACAGCTTGGCTGCTTCCTCCTCCTTCAGCTTCTTGCAGGTACGAACAAAGGAATGCATGTCCCCATAGCTCCTCTCAAAGAACACATAGGCTTTCGTCTCCCCGAGAATGATTTCAGTGATTTGGTTGATGTTGTCGTGAGGGGGCAGGCAGAAGCAGGGCGCAAGCAACTCTTGGTAGCAGCCGATAGCAAACACCTAGAGATGCAATGGGCAATCAAAAAGGAAAGGGTTAGAAATAGAAAGGAAACAGGCTGTAGCAAAGGCACACCGATTTAAAAACTAATAAAAACCCCTCTGCATATTACAAAAGCGAAGATGTCCAAACTGCAAACTGGCGCTTGTGTTTCAGCAGACTATGCCCTGAGCAGTCTGGAAGTGCTTTCTTCCTTATGAAAACTAAATGAGGGTTTCCACCCCAACACACACTCCAACCGGCCTACATAAATTATATCAGCGAGAGAAAGGAAAGTGAATGGCCTAATTTCCTGGCTGATAAGAGGGAAGAAACATAAATAGGCTTGTTTTAAAAAGGAACATCCGGTTCTTTGCAAACAAAAGCATCAATAAAATGCGACGGCAGCTCAGAATGTATGAAAATTCTGATTCTGGATGGCCAATAGTTACAGCAAAGGGGAGGGGAGGGAAGTACAGTCATACCTCGGGTTGGGAACGCTGCGGGTTGCACGTTTTCAGGTTACGGACTGCGCCGAACCCGGAAGTACCGGAACGGGTTATTTCTGGGTTTTGGCGCTCGCACAGAACCACTAAATTGCGCTTTATGCATGCGCAGAAGCGCCGAATCGCATCACATGCGTGCGCAGATGCGGCGCTGCAGGTTACGAACGTGCCTCCTGCACAGATCACGTTCGCAACCCGAGGTTCCACTGTATCATGCTTCAAAACATTTAGGGTTCCCCCACTTGTTTTGCTTTTATGCATTGCTTCTGAGGGGCTGTCCAATCTGTCCGTCCACCCATACCACCAATGGATCCAGCACCCAGACACTCATTTAGCTGTGATTCCTGCACTGCAGGGGGTTGGACTAGATGACCCTCGGGGTCCCTTCCAACTCCTCAATTCTATGGTTCTATGCATTTACATCCCACCTTTTTCTTTTTTCCTCCCAAGGAGCTCAAGGTGGGAAACATAGTTCTCCCGCTCCTCATTTAATCCCAAGGACCCTGCAAGATAGGTTAGGTTGAGTGGCAGGGATCGGTCCAAGGTTACCCAGTGAGCTTTCAAGGCCAAGAGAGGATCTGAACCCTTGCCTCCCTAGCCAACAATCTCGCCACTATACCACACTGGCTCTGTATCTGAATGAAAACTCTGCCATGGATTTTAAAGAGTAAGCAGACAATACTACATTTCTTTAAAAGGACCATACCCTCTGGTAAACCTGTTGTTGTTTTGTTTTAAAAAAATTAAACTTCTATTAATACTTTTATCATTCACACAAATTGGTTACTGACATAATTTACCTTTCTCTTCTTATATGTGATAATTGCACTCTCATTTGTCTCCCAGTTTCTCCCTTCCCTCTGTATTCTCATTTTATTTTTTAAAAACCAGGGTTGAGGAACCAGATATTGTTGGACTCCATCTCCCATCAGCCCCAGCCACCATGGGCTAAATGGTCAAAAATTATGGGAATTGTAATCTAGCAACACCTGGAGGACCACAGGTTCCCCCTTACCCACCCATCTTGCAAACCAAGTTGTGCTACTATCACAGCCTTCTTCTGGTTATCAGAGGGGTAAGTCAACATGGTGCCCTTCAGACTTCAATTCCCATCATGCCTGACCACTGGCCATGCTGCCTGGGGTTGGCAAAAGTTGTAGTTCTGGAGGGCACAGCCTTGTTTGCCATTTCTACACACCACCTTCTTTTTCCACAGCCTGGATAGCTCGGTTGGTTAGAGAACGTGGTGCTGATAACGAGGTTGCAGGTTCAATTGCCTGATGGGGCAGCTGCGTATTCCTGTATCACAGGGGGTTGGACTAGACAGTCCTCAGCGTCCCTTCCAACTATACAATTCTATGATTCTATTCTTTGGCAGTGGAAGGAATGAGGGAAGTCAAAATTCTTGTTGAGATGGTTGGGCAACACAAATAGTGCCACGGTCCACAACTCATATAGAAGCTGAAGGCTCTCAAATTCCTTCCTCCCCTCTCCAAAATGCAGGCAAAAGCCTCTTCCATCCCCAAGCACCAACAGAGGTTGGCAGAGTCTATCCCATTCCCCACTCCTTGTCTATCCCCATGCTCTTCAACCCTAGGTTCCCAACGGTTCTAGGGCTACACTTCCCATCTTCCATGACAACTGGCTAAGCTGGCCGAGGAGGATGGGCGTTGTAGTCCAACAACAGCAAGGCACCCAAGGTTGAAGACCGTTAGACCGCCACATAGGAATTTGGAGCTGAGATACAGAAAAGCCCTCCCTTGCTGTCTCACAAAAGGAAGGAGTTAAAGAGGCCTTTGGTGACGTCTCAAGAGTTGTGTCTGAAATGCTAAAAAAAAACGAGGGAAGGACTCTGCTGTGTTTCCGTTGCTAAGCAACAGAAAACACAAGGTTTCGGTTGCTGTTCACACGGTGACAGGGCGGGCGTTGTAGATGAGGCAAAATGGATAGCCCTTCGCTTGTGATGGCTTGCATAGGAGAAACTCCTGGGAGATGTGCAACAGGGAAGCTTAGGTGCAAATGCAATGATGGCGAACATATGAGACGTCACTTTGGGGGGTGGGCTGAGCCCCCTGGGCTGCGAGTTCCCTACCCATAAGACTAGGGAAATGTTCTAATGGACTTGCAAACTTGTATTTGCCTTTTAATATTTACGGAGATTTTTAGTGCATCTTTTTTTTAGCAGAACAAGTGCCTCTCTAGCCTTGCAGACACATCCACCTTGCGTTCTCGTGAATGAAATGGTAAGGAATCGCCAAGCATGCTGGGTAACTCAAATATATTTTTTTAAAAAAATGTTCCACTAATCCAGCGATTATGAATGAATCAGTGCTTGAGACATTTGGATTCCAGGCAATGGGAACGTTTCATTGAGAATAACGGGTGCACTGCAGTAAGAAGGCATAACCAGTGCGTGACACAAAGGCTTTCATTATTCGCGAGATTCTGATGCATTTGTCCCTTGGTAATGAAGGTCAGGAAGTTACAAAGTCAGATTAACGCTGAAGAACGCAGGCCAACCATATTGCGCAACCTAAGGATAAATGACTGTGGCTCACCACTTGCTCTTTCTACAGCTTGTAGCTTAGCAATTCAGAAATTAATTTAAGGCACGCAAAACCTGTCTTGAAGCCATTATCTTGATGTCATGCTCTGAAGCGGAACAGCACTTGCCTTTGAGGTACCTGCTAGCAGCATCCCATGCATGCCCATTCATAACTAAGTCTCACCCAATTCAATGGGTCTTGCTCCTAGGTAAACATGCAGGGGTTTGCAGCAGGCTGAGAAACTCTCTAGCAAGTTTCTATAAATAAGTGCAAGCTTTGGCATTCCATGAAGTGCATTCGCCACAGCTCTTCCTGTTATTCCTGACGTGTGGAAAGAGAAAAGCTCTTTTACTTGGGCTTGTTGACTGGTTAACTACATATCTGTAAAAGGGAAGACCATTGCAGGTGGTGTTTGTTTTTGTCCGCTCCAGATGTCTTTCTTTCAGGGGAACCCATCAATGATACCAGAAGCTGTGGGAACAGATATACATTCCCACCACCACTGCAGCCTCCTTGTGAAATCTTGCAGCACATCATCTGCAAGATATTATTTATCTACTCTGAAGTCCTGCTGAATCCAATGAGGCTGACTCTTGGGTAACCAGGATCAGGATTGCAGCCATGACCACCTTCTAAGCACTATAAAAACGTGTGGCCCTCATGCAAGCAAAACGTTTCCCCTTAACAGCCAGATTTCTCCCCTAAGAGCCATTAAAAAAAAAAAGTCATTTTGACTGGCTCCCCAAAAGCTTATCTTTGTTGTTCTTTACAATGAGAAGTCAGGACATGTGACTTTATAGGTAGCCCAGTATAGCTCTTTCCAGCAGTGAGAGTAAAAAAAAGAGCTCATTTGGATTCTAGAATGGCATTTTGCATACTCAGGGGGTTCCAGCCAAATTAAATTAAGCCTCTTCAGCCCCCCTTTGTTATCTGGCTCTTAATGGGGGTGGGGCAGGGGGGAAATCCACAAGCCTGTTTTTACTTAGACAAGAGTTGGTTGATTATTATTATTAGCTGTATATGCAAGGGCGCTATTTTTTCAGGAGCAGCCAAAGAGGCCGATTTTGTTTTGTTTTTTAAAGGCAAACATGAACGGTTACAATTTTGCAAGCAAGGGGAACTGAAATGTTTTTGTTTTTTTAGGGAGGCATTCAGTTATGAAAAATGGTTGCCAGTGTCCTCAAAACATGAAAATTCCTAATACTTCCCCATCCTGAAGCTCAAAGACATTATAATGGACAAAGATGCTCTTTCATAGGAGTTCTGCTTCTGTACCACAGTAGTTTCCCATACCTTTAGAACACAATCACAGGTGGTTTTGGATCGAATTTAACTACTATATGTGTAAAAAGAAGTTACTAACTCCTGAAAATCTTCAAGCAGATAAGGCAGCCTTGCGAGATTTGTGCATCTTCATAAAGATGTCATTCTTTGCATTTCAGCTGCTCGTTCTTTGCCTTTCATCTGCTCCTCCCACAAGAGGAGGCTGATAATATTTTGATTTGCATCTATTTTGGACAAACTAATGCATGCATTTTAAATGATCTGCACCATCGCTCCACTTTCTGGTTCCTTGTGCAGTGGAAGTCCTTGCAAGGTCAGAGAGGCTCTACTTTCCATAATCAGGTATAAACTGTGCAGAACTAAATCTTTATTAAGATTTAGGGTTCATGACTCACGGGTGGCCAGTACATTTTATACTGACCTGAACAGAGAGCCCTTTGCGACGAACCAGGGGCTGCAATTTAATTTTGTCACCACATATGAATCTAAATAAAAACATCTACAGTGACCAAAAAGATTGGATTATTTAAAGGGTAGTCCATGTGTCTATATCACAGCCTGCAGATTCAACACTAGGATTGCAGCTTGTTTGGGTTTTGTTCTCAATCCCATAAAAATACACATTTTGGGGAAAATATTCTGTAATTACAAAGGTTGTGTAGTGTGGCAATCTTCCCACACAGCCTTCCCAGGGGCTGCTCCAGGAGCAGAGCTCCAAGAGGGCACCAGGGAGAGTGAAAGAAAGAGTAACCACAGCAGTTTAGGAACAAAGGAAATAGTATTGCCTCTGAGTGAATGGCCTCTGAGTGAATGGACGCCACTTCCCTCCATAGGAGAAGCATGTGGACTTCCTTTCTCCACAGTTTATCTTCGCTGGGGAGCTGAAGAGACTGAGAAGCCAGGAACCTACCAAGTCTGAGCCCTGTTGTTGTTTTCTGCTAACAAAATAAGCATGCAAGTGTGCAAGGATTTATTATTATTATTATTGTTTCCTGCTGAAACGTGGGCGATTGTGTTTGCAAACAATCCATAGCAAGGAGGCTTGGTGCTGGTGTGCATTTTTTTAAAAAAGAACTCGGATCCACATCCCAATCCCACACATGTCGCCTCGCAAGTAAAACTCCCTCTCTGTGGAATCAGGCTTCCTCCCAAGTAAGCCTACACAGCACTGCAGTCTTTCACAGAGGCAAAGCTGCCAACTTGCCAAGTTTGCATCCAGCACCTCCCAAGGGAAGTGAAATATCCTCGGAGGACCGGCTGAAAATTAGCAAGGGATTCCCTTTTGGGAAGTCAGAAAGGAAAGAGAGGAGGGAAATTAGATTATACGTACTTCCACCTATGTGGCCTTCAGAGCCTAACTCCCCTCCTCCTCCCCTCCCCAAGTCTTTGGCTCCAGGCCACCGTTATAACGTGGCCATTGTCTGGAAAGTTGCTGAGAGCCGTTTAAATTATGCAAGGGTTTTTTTTTCCCACCCTGTTTGTTTTAATTACAACTTCTCCCAGTGCTTAAATCAATGGCTCGCCGCCGCCCCCAGCACACACAGCCCCCATTTTCTAAAAATAAACTCGCTAGACAGAGAAAAGGCTTTAAAAAATAAATAAATCCCAGGGGGTGGGAGAAGAGAAAGAGAGGCAGGAAAGTTGTTACCTTGCAAACCAGCTCCTCCTCGCTGTGCAGATGCACGGCTCGAAAAATGTGATCGCCTTCCAGAGGCTCCAGCAGTAAGTATTTCCCGATGCAAGAAACGCAATGCGGCAAGTTGGGAGTCTCTGGCGGGCTGGGTGAGCCAAGGTTGGGGCTGAAACTCTGGCTGGACTCGGTGGGCCTTACAGAAGAGAGCTCTTCAAAATCCTGGGTTTTATTCCGAGGTCTTCCATAGCGTGCGATTGTGATTGGGGTTGACCTTTGTATGTTCATGGGGATGGAGAGAGCAAGCCCTCCAAAAAAAGGTCCCCCCCAAAAAAATCACACAACACGCACAGATGCAGGCGGGAGCGAGCAGCAGCAGCGCGCGCGCACGCACACACAACCGTTTTGGAGAGGGGGGTTTATTGTGAAGATCAGGCCGGCCGCAAGGATGCCTTTGTGCTGTCGTCGGAAGAAAAGAGGGGGGATTTCGGAAGGCAGGTTTCCGTGGGGTTACTGTCCAGTTTAGGTCGCCGAGAGAGGAAACCGGAGGTAGGGGGCGCGGAGACTGGAGAGCCGGTGGCCAAGCCGAAGGGTTCCCCTCTCCCGGAGAAGCCCGGCACGTCGGGGAGCTTTTGCGCAAGAGAACAAAGTGACACAAACAAAGCCAAAGCGTGAGTCTTTGCAAAAACGTGGCCTCTCAGGAAATGCAACTGTGGTGTTGTTGTTTTTTTAAAGAAATAACAATGGAATGAACAAGTCGAGAACGGAGAGAGGTGAGAATCGTTATTAGTATTTGGCTTCCTCTGCGCTCCTGTAAAATCCTCGCACGGCTGGAAAAGTGTTAAGTTCAGGTAACGTGCAGCAACCAGCCAGACGACTGCCCCCCCTTCTCTTTTTCCCCCAATCAATTTTTTCCCCTACGTTTTAACTGTAGATGGCGTCTGAAGCTTTTTCCCTGATAGCAAGGACTATCCAGATATGGGGGGAAAAACCCCAAGACGAGGGAGCATTTAACTTCAGAGGGTCAGCAAGGAGCTCCAACAACAACAAAAAGATGAAAAATATAATATATATATATAAATATATATGTATATACAAATACACACAGAGAAAAATAGAAAGACGCTATTTGGTCATCGTTTTCTTTACTCCTCTTTCTCGCTCTCTTTTTTTTTTTTTTCCTTTTGCGGGAGGGAAAATGTTCCTAAATTGAAAGGCACCGTCACCACCGGGAAAGAGAGAGGTGCGCGGAGATCCACGCGCCCGCGACGACGGCTCTCGTGTGCGCGCGCCCTCCCTCGCGTGTGTTTCCTTTGATCAGACAAAAAGTGCAATCAAGGACAAGCGCGGATCAATGCTCTTCCATTTCGCGTGGGGCTGATTTGCTTATTTATCTCCAACAAGAGTGGGGGGAGAAAATCCCTTCGCTTTTCAGCAAATCCTGGAGCGCGACGCGCCTGCAGCGGCGATGATGATGATGATGATGATGGTGATGATGCAAAAGCAGCAGCAGCATGAAAGGCGAATACTTAACAATAGTAGCTGTGCAAGAGAGGAGACCTCCTTTCGCCGGTTTCCTCTTTGTCCCTCCTTTGGAGAGTCCTGAGATGCGGAGGAGATGCTGCCACTTTAAAGATGCACGTAGAATATGTGTGTGTGTAGAATATATATATATGTATATATACTCAGTTATTTCAGGCGTCGGTCTCTCTTAATTCCTGGAGGTAGGAGGAGGAGGTAGGGAGGGAAAGGGATGGCCGAGCCAATCCCTTTCAGCAAGGCATCATCTCCCCACCATGTATTAATAGCTACTTACGTGCGCTGGGAATTCTCTCGCTGCGTCTCTACTTACTGGGTGTCACAAACGGCGGCGGCTGCAGCAGCTCCAGCGCATTTACGCCGACCCGGAGCGCACAGGCAGGCGAGCAGGCTGGCTGGCTGGCTGGCTAAGAGACTGACTGCCTGCCCAGTCCCCGCCGCCGCAGAGCCGACTGGCTCCGCGGAGAGGGCCCGCCCCGAGCCCCGAGGTGCCTCCCCATTGAGCCGGCGAGGCGCCAATCACACGAGCAAAGCCTGCCCAAGCCTCTCCCTCCCTCCTCTTTCCACTCATTCAATGAGCCGGCTGCAGGGTAAACAAGGTAAAATATCCTTCCGCAGCGCGAGCTGTGAAATAGGAGCTTTTTTTTTTTAATATTTTATTAAGGATTTTCTTGTTTTACAGAAGTGTAGTGCCTCGTTTTTTGTTTGTTTTTTCCCTTTAACATTTTAGCTTTTGTGAGCCGTGGCGGCGGCTGCTGCTGCTGCTACTACAGCTAGTGACAAGTTGTGGCGTTGCACTGACCTCTGGTTGTTTCCGTTTAAGCCTCAGTTTGCAGTGTGTTTGGAGGGGATTTTCTCTTTCTCTCTCCTCCCGGCATCCTCGTGCATCTCTACATCGAGGGTTTCCTTCTTTTTTTAATGAAGAACTTGGTTATATAAACGTCGAAATGTTATAATGAAAAGCCTGGCTTCCCCACCCGAAATGATCGTCGGAATGCAACAATCCGTGCCAAGTACAGTGGTACCTCGGGTTAAGTACTTAATTCGTTCCGGAGGGCCGTTCTTAACCTGAAGCTGTTCTTAACCTGAATCACCACTTAATCTAATGGGGCCTCCTGCTGCTGCCGCCGCCAGAGCACAATTTCTGTTCTCATCCTGAAGCAAAGTTCTTAACCTGAAGCACTATTTCTGGGTTAGCGGAGTCTGTAACCTGAAGCATATGTAACCCGAGGTACCACTGTATACTGTAATACAACACTTGACATAAAATTTCCCACTGGCAATTTCATGGTAGGGGGACGTTCATCCGGAGAAGCTTCCACACCTATGTGCCTGCTCCCTAGGTGCCCAAGCACCCACAAATGCACCCCCCGTGAAGGGGTCGGGCATCCACACATTTTGGCGCCAGGATCATGCACACTGCATGGCACGCCCACAGCCCCGGGCACCCACAGTGGTGGGACCAAACTGGTTCTCCTGCTTCCACACAAACCCATAGAGATGGGATCCTCATCTTCTTCTCATAGAATCATTGAGTTGGAAGGGTGATCTGGTACAACCACTTGTAGTGCAGGAATCTTTTGCCCGATGTGGGGCTCAAACCCTTGACCCTGAGATTCAGAGTCTCATGCCCTACCAATTGAGCTATTTTACACTTGGAGAGCTAGTGGCTGAACGGCAACCTTTGAAATGTAAGGGCACTTCTGGGCAGTCCACCCACCCAGGATCGAAGCACCAGGAAGGAGAGTCCCCAAAATTCAGGCTCGCCATATGTCAGAAAATGTCATGGCTTTGGGGTGTAAAAATGCCATAGGGGGAATTTGCTCAAAAGCTCAACAACTTTGCGGGTGTCAGGGATTGTACTTTTTGAAACATGGCACCCCTAAAAAAAAATGCAGCCAGCATCTTCTGCCCCTGAGCAACACAGTTTAATGTGATCAGCATGATTGCAGCCCTATACATATCTACCCCATCAAAGAAAAGAAAACCCAGTCTCTGCTTGGTTATTTTTCTCGTTCTCTGGCTGCGTCTATGGTAATTTCCCTTAAACAAACTTCAAGGCCTTCTCATTCACTTGCCACAGCAAGGAGGGTCCATTAATCACCCAGGCACACCTGGTTCCCTTTCTGAATGCACTCCTCTGCTTTGCCTCTACACTACATGCACAGGAGCACTGCTACACAACAACAACAACTTGGCAACATCATACTAGAATAGCTGTAAAAGCCCTGCTTTTTCTGGAATAAATGGGCTTACAACACAACCTTCACCATGTTTATTCCGAAGCCCTACCAAATTCATTGGGGCGTACTCCCAGTTAAGTGGGGTTTAAATTGTAGTCTTACTCTGTGGCACAATCCATCAACACCCAGTAACTTAAAGGAAAAGAGCTCATGATGTTTTCTACTAACCACTCTGGCTTAGCCCTTTAAAAGTAGTGAGCCACCCTGAAGGTGAAAGAGGGAGAAACCATTCCCTTGTCGCTTTCTTTCACTGAAGTTAACAATCCTTCACTTTTTTCAGCTTTTTAAAAAAAACAACACAAAAAAACAAAGCAACTTATAAAAATGATCTTACTTTATAATAACAACATGTTTGTGTCATCGTGGTGCAGTTTTCTTGGTCACCAACAGGTGGTGCCATGAACTACAGCATGGCCAGAGGTGGTGAATGGACAGCCTCAAGTGGCCAGGGATGAGATAGGCACACAGAAGCGTTGGCTGGCCTCTAGATGCACAGCAGTCATGGCAGCATGAGACAAAAAGGGGGAGGTTTAAGCAGCCCTTCAAGCCCCCATCACTGCTGCCACTTGTGGAAGGAGGGGAACGAAGGGGAGGAAGTCTCCCCCTCCCCAGCCCATCCTGCTGCTGTGGGAGCAAGAGGAAAAAGTTTGCATCCTTCCCTTGGTTTCCACAGTGGCAGGGAGGACAAAGGAGAGAAATAAGCTACTTTCTTGGGTTTTCTTGGGAGAAGGCACACGGGACCCCACAAGGGTAGAGTGGGCAGGGGAGGGAATTGATGAGCAGAGTAAGCCGTGGGGCAGACCCTAGTCAAGGAATAAAAGCAATGCATATTTTAGAAGACATCTGAAGGCAGCCCTGTTTAGGGAAGTTTTAATGCTTGATGTTTTATTGTATTTTTAATACTTTGTTGAAAACCGCCCAGAGCAGCTGGGAAAACCGAGTCAGATGGGTGGGGTATAAATTATCATCATCATCATCATCAGATTAGGCTAGAACATGAAGTGCAATGGTTTGCTCTCTTTGTAGATTACAGAAGTTCCATGAGTTTGCTCAAAGCAGCAAAAGATCTCTTAATACAGCCATAAAACTTAATTTAACTATTTAAAATATTATTATTTTCTAAGCTGGAAGAGATACACAGGATTCATAGCCTGTAGTGACCAGAGCTGGATCTGCTGCCACTGCCTTTTATACTGGCCCTGCTCTTGTGCTCTTAACAGCAGTCTGACCCATGGAAATTAATTTGGTGTCAATTTTTCTGCTACTTATCTTCATGGCTGGAAAGGCTTTTGCTGTTTAATCTCTGTATCATTGAGCAGGTCCAGTAAAAACCAAAAAATGGCAGGGAAGTGGAACTCTACCATATTGCAGGTGCAGGGAGGCAGTGGAGAAAGAGTGACTATCAAATAAAAATATTCATAAAATGATGACTCGTTTGAAGAGTAATTTATTGTTATTATTACTTCATTGGGCAAACCAATACAAATCAAAACTAGATGGGTAGCAGAAGGAATTTTTTGATTAGTTTTATAAAGTGTGAAAGCAATTTTCTTCCAACTTGAAAGCGTAGATTGGAATCCCTTTGAAAACTCTGCAAGGCTGTATGGTAGATAAAAAAAAATGTTAGGAAGTTTCATGGAGGCAAGGTCAAGGCACCTTAACAAATTCTAAAATGTCCTTGGCTCCGGGTTCAATGAGTTTATCCGGGGAATGCATGTCAATTTAATAGTCTTTCTTTTCTTACTCATTTTCTTAGGAAAAAACGCAAGACATATGCACAATCACCTAAAAAAAAATATATGCTATTGAAATATGCTTTATCTCTGGGGAGAAAAGACAGAATAGGTCAATCACAATAAATTAAAAGGCTTAGCCAACACTAAACTATTTTGCCCGTTATAGTTCAGAATTGGGGAACCTATGACCTGTAATATGTTGTTGCTGTTGGTTTTGTTTCTATTATTATTATACCACCCTTCATCACTGCTCTTTTCATTTAAATGGAGAAGAACATAGGGTGGTGCCTTATACCTAGTCTTATACCATCTGGCCCAGTATCAAGGATCACCTCTCCCAATATAAACTGCCCCGGACTCTGCATACATCCTCTGAGGCCCTTCTTTGTGTGTCTCCTCCACGTGAGGTCCAGAGGTAGCAATACAAGAAAGGGCCTTCTCTGTAGTGGCTCCCATAGCTGTCAACTTACAGATTTGAAAATAAGGGGCCAGCAGCCTCGAAAATAAGGGATCAGCAGCCAAAATAAGGGATTTTACTTCGCTTATACAGAAATCCGCCACTCATGGAGCCATGCTGCTTTGGCTGCCACTGACTGTGTTTTGCAGGGGGTTGGACTAGATGACCCTAAGGGTCTACAACTCCAACCGAAGAAGAGTGGCAGACAAAACTGATGAACCACGTCGAGATGGCAAAGCTTACAAGCAGAATTAGAAACCAGGAAGAGGATTTCTTTAATAAAGAATGGGGAAAGTTTATAATTTATTTGAAAAGCTATTGTAAAGAGTTACATTGGTAGGTGACAGAAAACTTTTAATAAAAATTTGAACTATGGATGGACAAATGATTTATAAAAATAGAGTTATGAAAGGGATGCAGAGGGGGAAATCACTACATTAAGATGTTGCACTGGTTGGAGGGTATGCTAAGCAGCTCGTTGGGGCTGCTGTTGTCCTCGTGCGAGGAGTTCCATTGGCCCTTCCCTGCCCGAGAGAGAGGGAGGGAGAGAGACTCTCGCCCACGAGCCTGGCATGAGGCGGTTGTGGCGCTGCCGCAGCCGCTGAAGCGCCGCCCTTCTGCATCTCTCCCCATCCCCTCCTCTTCCTCCTCCCTCAGGCCGCCTCCTCAGCCGCCACCACCTCCGGCTTCCTCTGGCAGCGCGGCGGATGTCTCTCAAGAGAGGAGCTGCCTGCCTGCCCGCCGCCACCTGTCTCCTCATGACGTGCCCCTGAGGGGGAAAAGGGAGGACCCTGAGCCGCTGCTTCCCTCCCAAGCCAGGTGAGCATGAAACCCGGGAAATTTAAGGGACATCATCAATCCGGGACAGCAGCGGGAAACGGCACTGGGATAAGGGAGTTTCCCGCCAAATAAGGGACGGTTGACAGCTATGTGGCTCCCCATTGTGGCTCTCCCCAGGGAGGTTCGCCTGGCGGATTCATTATATATACAGTGGTACCTCAGGTTAAGTACTTAATTCATTCCGGAGGTCCGTACTTAACCTGAAACTGTCCTTAACCTGAAGCACCACTTTAGCTAATGGGGCCTCCCGCTGCTACCGCGCCGCCAGAGCCCGATTTCTGTTCTCATCCTGAAGCAAAGTTCTTAACCTGAAGCACTATTTCTGGGTTAGCAGAGTCTGTAACCTGAAGCATATGTAACCTGAGGTACCACTGTAATTTAGGTGCCATGAAAATGTTCCTCTTCAACCAGGCTTTGGGCTGATTAACATTCTACAGCCTTTTAAATTTGTTTGTGGGAAGGGGGGGCGTCTTGTTTGTTTTGCTGTTTTGTCTTTAATTATTTACTTTTTCCAATCCTGTATTTTATTCTGTGAACCGACTGGCAGCAGCTCACTAGGTTGTTAGGCGGGGGACATTCCCAGCCCTACCTGTGAGCTCCAGGGACTGCATGTGGGGCCTTCTGCATTGCAAAGCTCTACCACTGAGCAACAGCCCTTGCCTCAAACTCTCCTTCCACCTGCCAATTCTCTCCTGCAACCACCTCCTCACCTCGCAGGGATAGGCCCACAGCTGGGAACTTCCAGAGAAGATGCTGGCAACTCCTTATGCAGAGATTTTGAGTAGGAGGTGGGGTGGGAACCAAGCACATACAGCGGTACCTCTGGTTATGAACAGGATCCGTTCCGGAGGCCTGTTTGCAACATGAAAAGCCCACAACTTGAAGGGTCGTATCTGTGCAGGTGCGCGGCGCGATTTAGTGCTCGTGCGCATGCGCGAGCAGTGAAACCCGGAAGTAACCCTTTCCGGTACTTACGGGTCGCCGCAGGATGCAACCTGAAAAAACATAACATGAAGCAAACGTAACATGAGGTATGACTGTAGTCGCATTGTGCTGCCTAGCCAGACTTAAAAGCTTGCTCACTGCTCATTCCTCTTAAGAATAAATAAATCCAGAGGGTGCTGTTTAATAGAAGTGCAAGATTTACAGTGGCGTGCTGCATGACAAACAAAAATTAGATGCGCACAAAGCAGTTTTAGGTGCTGCAGCTGATGAAATGCGGTGTAAAAAAGCAAGCCCAGCATTTCAGAAAGCTCTGCCTTTTGTTCCCGTTGTATGGGGGGGGGGGGCTGCAAGGAAATGAAAGTGATGTGCTGAAGTGACATGGGATTGTTTCTGCCAATTATTTATCCTGCGCAGTCCTTTTCAGGGGACAGTATCAGATAGTATTCCAGGGGTAGCCAAAGCAATGCCCTTCAGATGAGCCAATGGTCAGGGATGATGGGGGTTGTCGTTCAGCAATGTACTACTATTGGTTACAACTATAGTAGCTCATCGCCGCCTCCGCCCCCCCCCCAGCTGCGAGAGTGCAAAAGTGCTCGTCCGACTTATCAACTGTCTAAAATAATAATAATGGAGAAACCCAAGTCTTTAGAAAGGCAGCTAAAATAAATCAAAGTAATATAATATAAATTATTTTTATTATGTGTTTTGTGGTTCTATATTCTGAGCCACCCTGAGACTTGTGGGTATAGGGCGGTATATAAATTTAATAGATTATTTATTATTGATTGATTGATTTTTATTAATGAAGTGCAGATGAGGTCATCAGCCTTTGCTTCAGGTTATGTTTGGCAACCGTACCTTTTCCTGAGCGCTGATCAAAACCGGCCTCCCAAATTCTCCACATTATTTATTGTGAGTAAAATTGGGGAGATGTTGCCAAATATTCTTGCAGGGAGATGAAAATTATTCAAGAGGTTGCCCCCTCACCTCCAGAAAATTTTCTACTTAGATATTTCGGCTTGTAAAATGTTGGACAAAACTCTGCTGCTACCTTGAAGGAAGCAGCAGGCTAGGCGAGGAGAAGCTAGGAGAAAGGGGTCCAAGCCCATTGCTGTCTTGAGCCACCTTCAACAGTATCGAAATTGGGTCCACAGAGAGCTCAAGAGAGACAAACATTCAAACAGAAATGGCTGGACAATTGTTTCCCGAGAAATTTTGGCTCAGCCCTACTTGAAATGAAATGAGCAGGCTGGCTTGTGCTACTGGGATATACCAAATGAATCTTCTAACTTTATTTCTGTTCTGGAACTGATTAGTCATTTGCTGTGTGATTTCGGGCATAACTCTATGACAATGGAGATATCATGAAGGGAGCTGGGAATTAAGGCGTGCCAAATATGAAAATGTTTATTTTATGTGTCGTAAATACATCTCTTTTTTTACATAAAAAAGGAGAAAAATGAAGAATGAGGCCTTGTAATTAATGCTCTGCTGCCAGAATGATGCAACAGTTAGTTTATTTAAAAAACAAACCAAAAAAAACCCAAAGCCCTACTGTCTCTGAATAGCTAACTCTGCACTCTGACGCTTGCCAAACTGTGATGTTGGCAGATTTCCAAACCAAGCAGGTCCAGAAAAAGCGAAGACTCCAAGAGTGACCTGCTGCCAGCTCAATGATTTTAACTCCAGGAGCTGACAGCAACAGTGACCTAGCAGAACATAATGCAGATTAAAATAGTCAGAGAACTTCACGAGCGCATGCATTGCATACAAGAGGTCCCAGATTCAATCTGCAGGTATGGCTGGTCAAGACTCCTGTCTGTCTGAAATGCTGGAAAGCTGCAGCAAACAGTTACAGAACTACATGGCCTAATGGTCTGCATCAGTAGGACAGTTTCTTGAGATTCGTCTCACAGTCATGTTGAGCACTTCCTGCTGCAATGTGGAAGAGAGGCAAGAACTGTCCCAAAATAGTGGGACTGTAGGAAGGACATTTTTTTTCTCAAATGCTGGGCAATGTAGCATTCCTAGGAATACAGGAAGTAGCCCTTCACTGAGTCATGCCCTTGATATGTCTAGCCCAGTATTGTCTTTGGCAGTGACTCTCTAGGATTTCAGATCAGAGACATCCACAACGCTAAGAAATGCTCCTTGTTATTGTTCCTGACATCCAGTTTTGAGAGTTCCTGGGGAAAAGGGGCACCAAGGTTCAATTTTAATATTGCACATTTTTCTGTGCATACTTTTAAAGAATCTTAAGTGTGCACATTTAATATGAGAATGAGACAAGCACATCGTAAAGCACTAAGCAGAGAGCCAGAATTGGATGCATATTCCTGTCCAGTGTGCACTTGATGGGCAAATCAGGTTAACTGATTAATTTATAATAATGTTTCTATCCTGCCACCCTCCGACAGGAAAATGGGATTTTAAGTGTTGTGTTGAAGAAATTTAAAAATGTCTCTACCTAATTCACCCTTTCTGAAACAATGCGTGAACAGGAACACAGCCATCCTTTGCCATTCACATTTCTCTGAATTTTGCAGTTCAGAACTCCAGCAAGTAAAGTGTGCATAAAAATTTGAATAATTTGTGAAAACGGCTGTTATGGGGGAGAAGGGTGTTTTGTGGACATTTTAATGTTTTGCATGAATCTTTTTTTTATAGATGGTATAATGCATTTATGTTTGTTTTTAATGTATGTCACTTGGGGACTTTTTAGGTGACTAATAAATTTAAATACTACTAATAAAAATAACACATACATGCAAAGGTGCATTACTTTAGGAGAGATGGCATACAATAATGTGTATAATAGAATAAATCTGCACTAAAATGCCAGTGAATTTTCATGAGGACTCTAAAATAAATAAATCGCAACCTGATTTGGAAGGGTGGGGACCTGAATGGAAAAAAAATGGGAAAATGTCAGGGACTGAAGAGGAGGGCTGGAGATTGCTACCTCCTTCTCCTCTGCTTCCCTTGGAAGAGCAAAGGACTCTTCAAGAACAAAGGGCTCAAAGAGTTTGGGTCTTGAGGCCACCTGTAGGGCCACGGGCTGTTGCTTGGGAAAGAAGGGGAGTGAGCTCAGAGTGAGCAACATCACTATGGAGTTAAGGATTGGATTCTTTGTCTTGCAACACAGTAACTGAATAAAACCATAAATACACACTTTCTTGCTTCTTCTTTGATGCTACCGGTGGAGCAGAGACTCCCCCAAGCCTGGCAAAAATGAGAAACTAAGAGAAACCAACATTTATGGATTTGTCTATCCCTAGAGTAATTGCTCTAGTTGTATAGGTCCGTATAGTTAAAGCTATGGTTTTCTCAGTAGTGCTGTATGGAATTGAGAGCTGGACCATAAAGAAGGCTGATGCTTTTGAATGATGGTGCTGGAGGAGACTCTTGAGAGTCCCATGGACTGCAAGAAAATCAAACCTATCCATTCTGAAGGAAATCAGCCCTGAGTGCTCACTGGAAGGACAGATCCTGAAGCTGAGGTTCCAATACTTTGGCCACCTCATGAGAAGAGAAGACTCCCTGGAAAAGACCCTGATGTTGGGAAAGATTGAGGGCACAAGGAGAACGGGATAACAGAGGACGAGATGGTTGGACAGTGTTCTCGAAGCTATCAACATGAGTTTGACCAAGCTGCGGGAGGCAGTGGAAGAAAGGAGTGCCTGGCGTGCTCTGGTCCATGGGGTCATGAAGAGTCGGACACGACTAAACGACTAAACAACAACAACAACAAGAGTAATTGCTCAAGTGAAGTCTCTGCAGCCTCCTTTGGTCTGTAAGGTCTGCTCTGACACCCTGGTACACATCAACACTGGAAGCTTTAGACAAAGCCTAAGATGTGGACTTCTTTTGAGGGCTCATTGTCCCATCACAGAAACGAGCTTTGGCATTTGGTCTGGTATCCCTCAGCCAAGTTAAAGCAATCCTTTGTACTCTGCTTAGACATGAGACACACAGTGCCAAAGTTTCTGTTTGCATGCTTTTTGGAGGATATCAGTACTTCAGGTTCAGTAATTTACCAGCACGCCTATCAGGCAAAAACTGTCTGGTTGAGACAACTCTGTTCCAACAATGTAAGGTCACTGTGGCCTGGAGCTGTGACAATATACGCCTCTGTAAAGAAGAGTATCAAGCTTCAAGGTCAGATATTATCTCCATTTGCCTTCACCTGAGAATGTCTTCTGCCATCAACAGACAACTGCTGTTGCAGGTCTCCTATTATCAGTTTACAAACTCAAAGTCCATACACCTGATTCTTGGGATTGGTTGCTACCAAAGCAGTATGGGGGTTGTTTTATCTACTCACTTTGTTGGTAATAAATTTTAATTATTAAATAATGACTTGGAAAACTGTTCCCTAATTTTTCTTTGTTTACTTATGCAGTAATTATATAGTAATTACTGTGCAAGTGTCAGAAGGGCTACGACAAACAAAGGAATGCTATGCATTATGAACACAATCCCATAAATGTTTACTTGGAAGGTAGTTTGACCGAGTTCAATGCTTGCTGCTTCCTACTAAGTGTGTTTAGGGTTGCAGTTGAAGTGAAGGGGACAACATAGCCTGTACTCCAAATCCCACTTAGCTAGGAGTAAGCCCCATTCAGTAGGACTTGCTTCCGAGAAGACATGGTTAGGATCATGACGTAAGTCATGAATTAAGCCCCATTTATCTCAAAGGAAATTTAGGGCAGCCAACGGAGTCTGGACTGGAGCCTTTATATCTAAGTCTTAATAGGTTGAGATGTCATTTCATTCATTTCACACTCAAGATCATTTGTTGCCTTCTCCAAAAGCACACTCCACTAGGTAAATCTGTTGCAATTTATTATTTTTCCAGTCTCAGAATCATAGAAATTTAGTGTTGGAGGGACCCCAAGGGTCATCGAGCATAGCTGTCAACTTTTCCCTTTTCT